TATTCTAATCCGGGGCTACTGAGGGGACCCCCCTATGTTCATATCTCATGATTGTTGTTGTTAACTTGTGCCTTTCTCAGAACGTGTTCCTGGCCAGGTGTCATGGTTTGTACCATCAACTTTGCCAAAGCTTTGTTTAAAAAACATTGTCTCTTCACATTTGGCTTGTTTTTAAGCAAAAGTTCTGCTGTAATCTCTGGTTTCCTTGGCTGATCTACCTTTGAAACAATGGTCTTTTGATCAGTTTGAACAAACAGTAATTTGATGGAACCAACTGTGTAACAGGCTAATTGCAAATAATCAGATTACAGATGTTTGTACCTGGATCGCATCTTTGCGATGGCATTTCTGGTGATCTGGTGCTCTGGTTTGGGATAAATTGCGCTTTGTAATAGAGTTAATTGCTCTTATTTTCGTTGAAAGGTGTTTGCAACATTGCTGTTTAATTTTGGAGGCTCATAACCTCACCATTTCCGGTCTCGCGGGGCTTCTTCTGGCGGACTTGACCACATGTGTGCGGCGGGCAGCGCTCTGCTCTCTGGCGTCCTCTGGTGGTCAGAGGCGGAACACAGGGCGCTGCAGATTTCCAAATAGGGAAAAAATACGAGAGGCCGTTCAAAAACGTGCACGCACAAGTGCTCCAAACTCAGACTTGGTGTCCATCGGGGGGATTTGACTAAAAAAATAACGTCATACATCCCAACGATACTGGTTCAGCGGATGGGAATCGAAAAGCTCCTTCGTTTGTTTCAATTGTGGCCACGGAGTTCACACGACAGCGTAAGATCCTGGAAGAATGTGTTAAAATAGCTGTGCTGGAAATAATTTCACCTTGTTGGCATAATTATGCACGTTTAATGCACGCTGTGTGCCGGAAAGTTTTATGTTAATGTCACTTTCTGGTAAAACAGTTACTGGACTTCCAACTCCTGTTGTTTAAAGTTAAAAAACAAAGTCAAAATATATAACTTAATAGAACTTCAGTTCATTTCAGCATGTTTGCCTCTGCCATAACCCATTTTTCTAAAAGATGATGTGCTAACTATTCAGATTATAGTTGAATAGTCGAAAGTGAAAACCTCTTGTCAGGGAGGTGGGTGTTGACGGGAGGACTCAGTCGCGGAATGAGGGGAAACAAGGTTTATTGAACAAAAACAGGGTGAATGTCCAGACAAAGTACAAAACAAAGCTGTGGCAAACTGTGGGCAAAGTAACAAAGCAATGAGCAAACAATACTGTGGCAAAAACTATGACTTGACAAAGTAACAAAATAAAGATAAACAAGACTATGACAAAACGTGACTAAGACTGTGGCAGAACTACGACGAAAACAAACCTGGCGTGGGGGTGATGACGGACGAAAGGACAAGAGACAAGGCAAGCAGACAAGAACGACCCCGCACCAGACAAGGGGAAACGAGGACTATTTAAACACATGAGGGAGGGAAACCCCAGGTGTACACAATAGGTAATCAAGACGAGACATTCCCCCAGGCGTGACACCTCTTTTTGTGAGTGGCTCTGGATAAAAGCGTCTGATAAATGCATAAATGTAATGTACATTTAAACTAGAAGAGAAAAGAATTACTTCTGTTGATCTGATAGTCTGTATAGGTCTAAATGACTTAAGGAAAATATATTAACATAATCTCTGTGTTCAACTGCGGTGAAAAGGAAACATTTGTATGTGCTTTATGCACCAGGAAGGAAAAAATGACATAGGTCAAAGGTCTGTAGTTCCACCGGGACGACAAATATTCAAAAGTAGAAACATTTTCAGGGGCTGATATCCCAGAAAACCCACTTTGAGCTCAGACCAGGCAGCAAAAACAGCCACAATCCAAACGTCCGACTCCACAAATGAACGGGAACACTTTCCTGTGCGGAAGCAGTTCTCCTTTGGGAAGGTTTCCCTGAAGGACGAGACCAGAGAGTTTGCAGCATCCCTGACAAACTCAGAACTGTAGCAGGCCTGGGTCCATCATCAACTCCCCTGTTGACCAAATTTACTGGGAAACGAAATAAAACCTGGCCAACGGTCGTCGGCCCAGACCTCAACCGGCAGCTGGCAGTTTCTGTCACGTCCGGGGTATTTTTGGGTGTTTTTGTCCTGTCTCCATGGTTGTCATGTTATTTCCTGTTTTATTTTGAAAGGTACATCCCCTTGTTTAAGCCACTTGCACTCCCCTGTTTGTCACATGTCTGCTTGTCTTCTTTTTTGTGTTCCCCTGGGGTTCCCTTCCCTTGTGTCTAAATAGATTTGATGATTTTGATTTTGTACTTAACCCTATAATGCCAAATGTATCATATTTGATACGGTTTGCTCAAACCCCTGTTGTACACATTCAGATATACCTGATAACAGCCAGTAGAAGACTACACCAAAATACATTTTTGACTTATTGCACGCTAATTTGATCAAAATAATTTCTTTTTATTCTTCATATGTTGTTGAGGGGCCGAAGAAAGACTTCAGACAAAAATAATCCATTATTCTTCCTATTTTTCTTGCATCAGGCTTTAAAGGGTTAAGAAGATCTCACTGATTGTTTTCATCCGTCTGTTTTTAAGGCCATATTTACATGTCGTTCAGGACATTCGAACAGGAACAAGCGACAGCTTGTTGTGTCGATAAAGAAATGTTCCTCTTTTCTACATATAATAAGGTAATGGGGTAATGTCGGGGCCAGATGCAGCCCCTCCCTCGTCCCCTGTTTTCCTACCGTCTTTTCAGCATCGTGGTCTAAACTGAGTTCCATCCTGAGCTGTCACACAAACGCCGCCCATCGCTCCACCGCCGTTAGT